TGGAACGGATTAACTGGATTTACATTGAATCCTATGGGGAAATTTGCATCGGGTTACGACCAACCCGGGATATGCCCAGAGTCACGGAACGGATTAAGTTCGTATCCCGAGGTACCACTGTATTTTTTGCTTATGGATACAATGTAGTAAGGGGCCAGGATTTAAGTTAGGACCAGAGATTTATAGCTGCCTATACAATGATTGTTAATACAGTTATGTACTTTGGGTAAACTTAAGAGCCAAAATGATGTTTCACAGTATTTTAGGAGATTAGCCTAACATTAGGAAAAGAAATACAAAATCCATTGCTGGGTGCAAGTTTTTAAGATTTTTGTTGGTCCAAATAAAGCTATTACCTAGCAGTGGACTTTGATGATTTCCCCCATCTACTAATGTAACTGTGGCATCTCTTTATTGTGGAAAGAGTAATTTTTTCTGTTTTCTTAACTTTCTCTCTAGGTTCTGGTTTCCTTGTGTTGATTCGTATTCAGAACTCTGCACGTGGAAACTGGAATATACAGTTGATGCCACAATGGTGGCAGTCTCAAACGGTGATTTAGTGGAAACTGTGTATACTCATGATATGAGAAAAAAGACTTTCCATTATATGTTGGCAATACCTACTGCTGCGTCTAACATCTCTTTGGCTATTGGACCATTTGAAATTCTTGTTGACCCATACATGCATGAGGTAATGCTCTTGGATGATGTTATATGACTCTTAATATTGAACTAGATTTGTGTTAGTGTGAAGTTTTGGTAATGTGATTGAGATACCACTTTTGTTATATTAACCATATACAAATTTTAAGATAATTATATTTCTTATTAGGATACATATTGTTGTCTATCCTTAATTTTCAAGGCTAGAGTTGGATAAAGAGGCAAAATAAATTGATATCAGGTTCTAGCTTTTGTGCTTTTCTGTTTTTGCTTTGTAAAATTTCATTATTTTTCATATATCTGATTCCATATCATTTCCCAGTTTTAGTTTAATGCTGCTTTTTACTACATACAACTTATTTTCCATCGTTTGAGACCATTTCTTGAAGGCTCTCTTTAACGTCCTTTTCCTGGATTTCTAAAGTGTTCTAATATTATATTCAGTAGTGTATACCAAAAATTGCTGGTAACATCTGAGCTAAGAGTTATTCCTGTTGTTGCTCTTATTATAATCTAATTATTCAATTACATGTTACGTTTTTTTTTATTATTTAGGTCACCCATTTCTGCTTACCCCAACTTCTCCCCCTGCTCAAACATACTACGTCATATCTCCATGAAGTATTTGAATTCTATGAAGAGATACTTACCTGTCGTTACCCTTACTCCTGCTTCAAAACAGTTTTTGTGGATGAAGCCTATGTTGAAGTAGCTGCTTATGCTTCTATGAGCATTTTTAGGTTAGTATTTATTGTAACTGTTCTGTCTAAACAAAAATTAAACGACCATGGTTTGTTTTAAGTGGAGCTGTCCTTGAAGATGACTTGGAAACTGCAATTGACACAGAATGCAGCTGCTTGCTTGCTGGTCAGTATTAGTCAGTTCAGCAAAATAACATCAGCTTTATAAGAGATGTGTTGGTTGCCAGTAGGTTTCTGGGTCCAGTTCAAGGTGCTGCTGATTACCTATAAAGTCCTGTTTGGGCACTTGTTACCTCTGGAACTGCCTTCTTCAGATAGATTCTACCTGCCCCCACAGTCTAGCAGAAAGAGAATGCTCCAGGGCCCATCCTAGAAGAGATCTGGGGGTTGGGTCATTCCCAGCAGCAATATGTAAATAAATAAGTTTTTGTAAGAAATACCTGGATATCAACTATACATCACTGCATATACAGTAAAGAAAGGTTTTAATCAAAATCATTTTTGGGTTAGTGCGGAAGAGCAGGCTGCTGAAACAAAATTGCAGGCGCCTGTGCTGCTTTCTTTCCCTCCCATCTGAGCCTTCTCCCCAGTGTCAGCACAGCAGAGTTGCCAGTTAAGCTGCAACCTTGACACAGGTGTGGGGGGGAGATGAGAGGAGAATGGAGGAGATGTGTTTTGGAGCTCTGCAGCCACCAGCAACAGAGTACAGCAGCCAAGGCATTTTTCCGTCAGAAGGAGTGGATGGTCCAAAAGACAGAAAAGGAACTATAGCAAGACAAAGCACAACATAAAGAAAAAGGTGCAAGAGCTCTACATGCTGGCCATTAACAGAAAAAGAAGAAGAAATCTCAGAGAGAGAAGGGACTTCAGACAGAACAGGCTTGAGAAACAAGCGTTGATGCATACTAGTAATAGTATGGATGATAATATATAGGTAATTGTAATAGATTAATAGGTAATAGTAATAGTAATTGATAGACTATAGTATAAATATTGTCATAGGAATAGTAATTGAATAGTAATAGCATAGTAGTTGTAATAGTAATTATCATAGTAATAGTATAGAGATAGCAATAGAATGGAATATAGGAAGCACTCACACATCACTTTTATATCTTTGTTTTTACAAAATAAAACATCTCCCCAACCCTTATAGGGAGAGATAAAGAAACCACTTGGTCCAGGGTCTCTCTTTATGTCTCTCTTGAGTCTGGATCAGTCTAATTGGGTATAATTTTAAAAAAAACCCATTGGGCAAAGGTATCTTCATAGATAGATAGATAGATAGATAGATAGATAGATAGATAGATAG